GTGAGGGAGGACACCGTGGGAGGGGACAGGTGAGGGAGGACCGTGGGGGGGGGGGGGGTGTCCGTGGGAGGGCCAGGTGAGGGAGGACACCGTGGGAGAGCCAGGTGAGGGAGGGACACCGTGGGAGGGACAGGTGAGGGAGGACACCGTGGGAGGGGACAGGTGAGGGAGGACACCGTGGGAGGGACAGGTGAGGGAGGACACCGTGGGAGGGCCAGGTGAGGGGAGGACACCGTGGGAGGCCCAGGTGAGTGAGGGACACCGTGGGAGGCCCAGGTGCGGGAGGACACCGTGGGAGGGCCAGGTGAGGGAGGACACCGTGGGAGGGCCAGGTGAGGGAGGACACCGTGGGAGGGCCAGGTGAGGGAGGACACCGTGGGAGGGCCAGGTGCGGGAAGACACCGTGGGAGGCCCAGGTGAGGGAGGATACCGTGGGAGGGCCAGGTGAGGGAGGACACCGTGGGAGGGCCAGGTGAGGGAGGACAACCGTGGGAGGGCCAGGTGAGGGGGCCAGGTGAGGGGAGGACACCGGGGAGGCCCAGGTGAGTGAGGGACACCGTGGGGGCCCAGGTGAGTGAGGACACCGTGGGAGGGCCAGATGAGGGAGGACACCGTGGGAGGGCGAGGGACACCAGGGAGGGCAAGGGACACCGAGGGAGGGCCAGGTGAGGGAGGACACCGTGGGAGGCCCAGGTGAGTGAGGACACCGTGGGAGGGCGAGGGACACCATGGGAGGGCGAGGGACACCGTGGGAGGGTCAGGTGAGGGAGGACACCGTGGGAGGCCCAGGTGAGGGAGGACACCGTGGGAGGGCCAGGTGAGGGAGGACACCGTGGGAGGGCCAGGTGAGGGAGGACACCGTGGGAGGCCCAGGTGAGGGAGGACACCGTGGGAGGGCCAGGTGAGGGAGGACACCGTGGGAGAGCCAGGTGAGGGAGGACCCGTGGGAGGGGCCAGGTGAGGGAGGACACCGTGGGAGGCCAGGTGAGGGAGGACACCGTGGGAGGGCCAGATGAGGGAGGACACCGTGGGAGGGCCAGGTGAGGGAGGACACGTGAGAGAGCCAGGTGAGGGAGGGACACCGTGGGAGAGCCAGGTGAGTGAGGACACCGTGGGAGGGCGAGGGACACCATGGGAGGGAGAGAGACACCGTGGGAGGGTCAGGTGAGGGAGGACGTGACACCGTGGGAGGGCGCGGGACACCATGGGAGAGCGCGGGACACCGTGGGAGGGCGAGGGACACCGTGGGAGGGCGCGGGACACCGTGGGAGGGCGCGTGACACCGTGGGAGGGCGCGGGACACCATGGGAGAGCGCGGGACACCGTGGGAGAGCGCGGGACACCGTGGGAGGGCGCGGGACACCATGGGAGAGCGCGGGACATAGTGGGAGAGCGCGGGACACCGTGGGAGGGCGCGCGGACACCGTGGGAGGGCGAGGGACATCATGGGAGGGCGAGGGACACCATGGGAGGGCGAGGGACACCGTGGAGGGCGCGGGACACCGTGGGAGGGCGAGGGACATCATGGGAGGGCGAGGGACACCATGGAGGGCGAGGGACACCATGGGATGGCGCGGGACACCATGGGAGAGCGCGGGACACCGTGGGAGGGCGCGGGACACAATGGGAGAGCGCGGGACACCATGGGGAGAGCTGGGACATAGTGGGAGAGCGCGGGACACGTGGCCGAGGGCGCGGGACACATGGGAGAGCGCGGGACATAGTGGGAGAGCGCGGGACACCGTGGGAGGGCGCGGGACACCGTGGGAGGGCGAGGGGACATCATGGGAGGGCGAGGGACACCATGGGAGGGCGAGGGACACCGTGGGAGGGCGGCGGGACACAGTGGGAGAGCGCGGGACACCATGGGAGAGCGCGGGACACAATGGGAGGGCGCGGGACACAATGGGAGAGCGCGGGACACCATGGGAGAGCGCGGGACATAGTGGGAGAGCGCGGGACACCGTGGGAGAGCGCGGGACACCATGGGAGAGCGCGGGACATAGTGGGAGAGCGCGGGACACCGTGGGAGGGCGCGGGACACCGTGGGAGGGCGAGGGACATCATGGGAGGGCGAGGGACACCATGGGAGGGCGAGGGACACCGTGGGAGGGCGCGGGACACCGTGGGAGGGCGAGGGACATCATGGGAGGGCAAGGGACACCATGGGAGGGCGAGGGACACAATGGGATGGCGCGGGACATCATGGGAGGGCGCGCGGACACCATTGGAGGGCGCGGGGACACCATGGGAGGGCGAGGGACACAATGGGAGGGCGCGGGACACCATGGGAGGGTGAGGGACACCATGAGAGGGCGCGGGACACCGTGGGAGGGCGCGGGACACCGTGGGAGGGCGCGGGACACCATGGGAGGGCGCGGGACACCATGGGAGGGCGAGGGACACCGTGGGAGGGCGCGGGACACCGTGGGAGAGCGCGGGACACCATGGGAGAGCGAGGGACACCATGGGAGGGCGAGGGACACCATGGGAGGGCGCGGGACACCATGGGAGGGCGAGGGACACCATGGGAGAGCGAGGGACACCATGGGAGAGCGAGGGACACCGTGGGAGAGCGGTGGGACACCGTGGGAGAGCGTGGGACACCGTGGGATGGGCGCGGGACACCATGGGAGGGCGAGGGACACCGTGGGAGAGCGAGGGGACACAATGGGAGAGCGAGGGACACCGTGGGAGAGCGAGGGACACCGTGGGAGAGCGAGGGACACCGTGGGAGAGCGAGGGACACCGTGGGAGAGCGAGGGACACCAGGGAGAGCGCGAGGGACACCGTGGGAGGCGAGGGACAGGGACACGTGGGGAGAGCGAGGTACACCGTGGGAGAGCGAGGGACACCGTGGGAGAGCGAGGGACACCGTGGGAGAGCGAGGGACACCGTGGGGAGAGCGAGGGACACCGTGGGAGAGCGAGGGACACCGTGGGAGAGCGAGGGACACCGTGGGAGAGCGAGGGACACCGTGGGAGAGCGAGGGACACCGTGGGAGAGCGAGGGACACCGTGGGAGAGCGAGGGACACCGTGGGAGAGCGAGGGACACCGTGGGAGAGCGAGGGACACCGTGGGAGAGCGAGGGACACCGTGGGAGAGCGAGGGACACCGTGGGGAGAGCGAGGGACACCATGGGAGAGCGAGGGACACCGTGGGGAAAGCGAGGGACACCATGAAAGAGCGAGGGACACCGTGGGAGAGCGAGGGACACCGTGGGAGAGCGAGGGACACCGTGGGAGAGCGAGGGACACCGTGGGAGAGCGAGGGACACCGTGGGAGAGCGAGGGACACCGTGGGAGAGCGAGGGACACCGTGGGAGAGCGAGGGACACCGTGGGAGAGCGAGGGACCGTGGGAGAGCGAGGGACACCGTGGGAGAGCGAGGGACACCGTGGGAGAGCGAGGGACACCGTGGGAGAGCGAGGGACACCGTGGGAGAGCGAGGACACCGTGGGAGAGCGAAGGGACACCGTGGGAGAGCGAGGGACACCGTGGGAGAGCGAGGGACACCGTGGGAGAGCGAGGGACACCGTGGGAGAGCGAGGGACACCGTGGGAGAGCGAGGGACACCGTGGAGAGCGAGGGACACCGTGGGAGAGCGAGGGACACCGTGGGAGAGGGACACCGAGGGACACCGTGGGAGAGCGAGGGACACCGTGGGAGAGCGAGGGACACCGTGGAGGAGAGAGGGACACCGTGGGAGAGCGAGGGAGAGCGAGGGACACCGTGGGAGAGCGAGGGACACCGTGGGAGAGCGAGGGACACCGTGGGAGTGTGGGGATGACAAACAAAGGAAGGAAAGCTGTCTTAGAGACACCTATTAAAGTCTTCTTCAAGAAGATGAATAGCGACCCGGGAGGCTTCCCCTTGCTCAAAGGCTGTGAGGCGAGGGGTGAGGGGTGAGGGGAGGGTACAGTGTGAGGGGTGAGGGGTGGTACAGTGTGAGGGGTGAGGGAGGGTACAGTGTGAGGGGTGAGGGGAGGGTACAGTGTGAGGGGTGAGGGGAGGGTACAGTGTGAGGGGTGAGGGGAGGGTACAGTGTGAGGGGTGAGGGGTGGTACAGTGTGAGGGGTGAGGGGTGGTACAGTGTGAGGCGTGAGAGGAGGTACTGTGTGAGGGGTGAGGGGTGAGGGGAGGTACAGTGTGAGGGGTGAGGGGTGGGACAGTGTGAGGGGTGAGGGGTGGTACAGTGTGTGGGGTGAGGGGAGGGTACAGTGTGAGGGGTGAGGGGTGGTACAGTGTGAGGGGTGAGGGGTGGTACAGTGTGAGGCGTGAGAGGAGGTACTGTGTGAGGGGTGAGGGGAGGTACAGTGTGAGGCGTGAGATTAGGTACTGTGTGAGGGGTAAGGGGTGAGGGGAGGGTACAGTGTGAGGGGGTGAGGGGAGGTACAGTGTGAGGGGTGAGGGGAGGTACAGTGTGAGACGAGATTAGGTACTGTGTGAGGGGTAAGGGGTGAGGGAGGGAACAGTGTGAGGGGTGAGGGGAGGGTACAGTGTGAGGGGTGAGGGGAGGGCCAGTGTGAGGGGTGAGGGGTGAGGGGAGGGTAGAGTGTGAGGGGTGGTACAGTGTGAGGAGAGTGAGGGGTGAGGGGTGAGGGGTGAGGGGAGGGGGGGTACAGTGTGAGGGGTGAGGGGCGAGGGGGAGGTACAGTGTGAGGGGTGAGGGGAGGAGTACAGTGTGAGGGGTGAGTGAGGGGAGGTACAGAGTGAGGGGTGAGGGGAGGGGTACAGTGTGAGGGGGTGAGGGGAGGGAAGAGTGTGAGGGGTGAGGGGAGGTACAGTGTGAGGGGTGAGGGGAGGTACAGTGTGAGGGGTGAGGGGAGGGTACAGTGTGAGGGGTGAGGGGAGGTACAGTGTGAGGGGTGAGGGGGAGTTACAGTGTGAGGGGGGGGGGTGAGGGGAGGTACAGTGTGAGGGGTGAGGGGAGGTACAGTGTGAGGGGTGAGGGGAGTTACAGTGTGAGGGGGTGAGGGGAGGTACAGTGTGAGGAGTGAGGGGGAGGGTACAGTGTGAGGGGTGAGGGGAGGTACAGTGTGAGGGGTGAGGGGAGTTACAGTGTGAGGGGTGAGGGGAGGGTACAGTGTGAGGGGTGAGGGGAGGGTACAGTGTGAAGGGTGAGGGGAGGTACAACAGTGACACACCAACACTAACAACAGAGACACACCAACACTAACAACAGAGACACACCAACACTAACAACAGAGACACACCAACACTAACAACAGAGACACACCAACATTAACAACAGGGACACACGAACACTAACAACAGAGACACACAAAACAACAGAGACACACCAACACTAACAACAGTGACACACCACACAACTAACAACAGTGACACACCAACACTAACAACAGGGACACACCAACACTAACAACAGAGACACACCAACACAACAGAGACACACCAACACAACAGAGACACACCAACACTAACAACAGAGACACACCAACACTAACAACAGAGACACACCAACACTAACAACAGAGACACACCAACATTAACAACAGAGACACACCAACACTAACAACAGAGACACACCAACACTAACAACAGTGACACACCAACACTAACAACAGAGACACACCAACACTAACAACAGAGACACACCAACACTAACAACAGAGACACACCAACACTAACAACAGAGACACACCAAAAACAACAGAGACACACCAACACTAACAACAGAGACACACCAACACTAACAACAGAGACACACCAACACTAACAACAGGGACACACCAACACTAACAACAGAGACACACCAACACAACAGAGACACACCAACACTAACAACAGAGACACACCAACACTAACAACAGAGACACACCAACACTAACAACAGGGACACACCAACACTAACAACAGAGACACACCAACACTAACAACAGGGACACACCAAAACAACAGAGACACACCAAACACAACAGAGACACACCAACACTAACAACAGGGACACACCAACACTAACAACAGAGACACACCAACACTAACAACAGGGACACACCAAACACAACAGAGACACACCAACACAAACAGAGACACACCAACACTAACAACAGAGACACACCAACACTAACAACAGAGACACACCAACACAACAGAGACACACCAACACAACAGAGACACACCAACACAACAGAGACACACCAACACTAACAACAGAGACACACCAACACAACAGAGACACACCAACACTAACAACAGAGACACACCAACACTAACAACAGAGACACACCAACACTAACAACAGGGGACACACCAAACACAACAGAGACACCCAAAACCAACACAACAGAGACACACCAACACTAACAACAGGGACACACCAACACAACAGAGACACACCAACACAACAGAGACACACCAACACAACAGAGACACACCAACACTAACAACAGAGACACACCAACACAACAGAGACACACCAACACTAACAACAGAGACACACCAACACTAACAACAGAGACACACCAACACTAACAACAGAGACACACCAACACTAACAACAGAGACACACAAACACTAACAACAGAGACACACCAACACTAACAACAGAGACACACCAACACTAACAACAGAGACACACCAACACTAACAACAGAGACACACCAACACTAACAACAGAGACACACCAACACTAACAACAGAGACACACCAACACTAACAACAGAGACACACCAACACTAACAACAGAGACACACCAACACTAACAACAGAGACACACCAACACTAACAACAGAGACACACCAACACTAACAACAGAGACACACCAACACAACAGAGACACACCAACACAACAGAGACACACCAACACAACAGAGACACACCAACACTAACAACAGAGACACACCAACACTAACAACAGAGACACACCCACACTAACAACAGAGAGACACACCACTAACAACAGAGGAACACCAACACTAACAACAGAGGAACACCAACACTAACAACAGAGACACACCAACACTAACAACAGGGACACACCAACACTAACAACAGAGACACACCAACACTAACAACAGGGACACACCAACACTAACAACAGAGACACACCAACACTAACAACAGAGACACACCAACACTAACAACAGAGGAACACCAACACTAACAACAGAGACACACCAACACTAACAACAGAGACACACCAACACAACAGAGACACACCAACACTAACAACAGAGGAACACCAACACTAACAACAGGGACACACCAACACTAAAAACAGAGACACACTAACACTAACAACAGAGACACACCAAAACACAACAGAGACACACCAACACTAACAACAGAGACACACCAAAACTAACAACACAACAGACCAACACACAACAGAGAACACTAACAACAGAGACACACCAACACTAACAACAGAGAGACACCAACACAACAGAGACACACCAACACTAACAACAGAGGAACACCAACACTAACAACAGAGACACACCAACACAACAGAGAGACACACCAACACAACAGAGACAGGGACACAACAGAGGAACACCCAAACTAACAACAGGGACACACCAACACTAACAACAGAGACACACCAACACAACAGAGACACACCAACACAACAGAGACACACCAAACACAACAGAGACACACCAACACAACAACAGAGACACACCAACACAACAGAGACACACCAACACAACAGAGACACACCAACGCAACAGAGACACACTAACACTAACAACAGAGACACACCAACACTAACAACAGTGACACACCAACAACAACAGTGACACACCAACACTAACAACAGTGACACACCAACACTAACAACAGTGACACACCAACACTAACAACAGAGACGCACCAACACTAACAACAGAGACACACTAACACTAACAACAGTGACACACCAACACTAACAACAGTGACACACCAACACTAACAACAGTGACACACCAACACTAACAACAGAGACACACCAACACTAACAACAGAGACACACAACACTAACAACAGAGACACACCAACACTAACAACAGAGACACACCAACACTAGCAACAGAGACACACCAACACTAACAACAAAGACACACTAACAACAGGGACACACCAACACTAACAACAGTGACACACCAACACTAACAACAGAGACACACCAACACTAACAACAGAGACACACCAACACTAACAACAGAGACACACCAACACTAACAACAGAGACACACACAACACTAACAACAGAGACACACCAACATAACAACAGAGACACACCAACACTAACAACAGAGACACACCAACACTAACAACAGAGACACACAACACTAACAACAAAGACACACTAACAACAGAGACACACCAACACTAACAACAGAGACACACCAACACAACAGAGACACACCAACACTAACAACAGAGACACACCAACACTAACAACAGAGACACACCAACACTAACAACAGAGACACACCAACACTAACAACAGAGACACACCAACACTAACAACAGTGACACACCAACACTAACAACAGAGACACACCAACACTAACAACAGTGACACACCAACACTAACAACAGAGACACACCAACACTAACAACAGAGACACACCAACACAACAGAGACACACCAACACTAACAACAGAGACACACCAACACTAACAACAGAGACACACCAACACTAACAACAGAGACACACCAACACAACAGAGACACACCAACACTAACAACAGAGACACACCAACACTAACAACAGAGACACACCAACACTAACAACAGTGACACACCAACACTAACAACAGTGACACACCAACACTAACAACAGAGACACACCAACACTAACAACAGTGACACACCAACACTAACAACAGTGACACACCAACACTAACAACAGAGACACACCAACACTAACAACAGAGACACACCAACACTAACAACAGGGACACACCAACACTAACAACAGAGACACACCAACACTAACAACAGAGACACACCAACACAACAGAGACACACCAACACTAACAACAGAGACACACCAACACTAACAACAGAGACACACTAACACTAACAACAGAGACACACCAACACTAACAACAGAGACACACCAACACTAACAACAGAGACACACTAACACTAACAACAGAGACACACTAACACTAACAACAGGGACACACCAACACTAACAACAGAGACACACCAACACAACAGAGACACACCAACACAACAGAGACACACCAACACTAACAACAGAGACACACCAACACTAACAACAGAGACACACCAACACTAACAACAGAGACACACCAACACTAACAACAGGGACACACCAACACTAACAACAGGGACACACCAACACTAACAACAGAGACACACAACACTAACAACAGAGACACACCAACACTAACAACAGAGACACACCAACACTAACAACAGGGACACACCAACACTAACAACAGAGACACACCAACACAACAGAGACACACCAACACAACAGAGACACACCAACACAACAGAGACACACCAACACTAACAACAGAGACACACCAACACTAACAACAGGGACACACCAACACTAACAACAGGGGAACATCGTTTAGTAACCTAAATGAGGACCCCTTCAAGGTCGTCTACATAACACATATCAGGTCAGTGCTAACATGTGCAGCACAGGCATGGAACCCGCACCTTTCTCAATTTCTGTCCTTATTATGCACCCCATACCCCTCCCGTGGGCGGTGGTGTAAAGGGTTACAGAGGCACATGATCGGTTCAGGAACAACCTTCTAGTTTTTTTTTTTTTTTGAGATATATACAAGAGTTGTTACATTCTTGTACAGCCACTAGAACGCGTAGCGTTTCGGGCAAGTCCTTAATCCTATGGTCCCTGGAATACGATCCCCTTCCGCGAAGAATCGTTTTTTCATCCAAGTACACATTTTACTGTTGCGTTAAACAGAGGCTACAGTTAAGGAATTGCGCCCAGTAAATCCTCCCCGGCCAGGATACGAACCCATGACAAAGCGGTCGCGGAACGCCAGGCGAGTGTCTTACCACTACACCACGGAGTTCGTTTAGCTAAGCAAATAACAATCTTTTGACGCTAGTTACATATTATTAATGTTATGCATACATGTACACTTATATATACATATATATACATACACACACATACATATACAATCACCTACACAAATACACACATCAATAATCTTTGTGTCACAAGTGATCAACAAGAGGGTCACAACAGTCACTATACAAGGCACTTTACATCTATGGTGAGTCACACAGTTACTAGTCTTGCTCCACGCCCACCCAACTGGGCGGCAGCTTTACAGTCATGTGCTCCACACCCACCCAACTGGGCGGCAGCTTTACAGTCAAGTGCTCCACACCCACCCAACTGGGCGGCAGCTTTACAGTCACGTGCTGCACACCCACCCAACTGGGCGGCAGCTTTACAGTCATGTGCTGCACACCCACCCAACTGGGCGGCAGCTTTACAGTCATGTGCTCCACACCCACCCAACTGGGCGGCACCTTTACAGTCATGTGCTCCACACCCACCCAACTGGGCGGCAGCTTTACAGTCACGTGCTGCACACCCACCCAACTGGGCGGCAGCTTTACAGTCATGTGCTCCACACCCACCCAACTGGGCGGCAGCTTTACAGTCATGTGCTCCACACCCACCCAACTGGGCGGCAGCTTTACAGTCATGTGCTCCACACCCACCCAACTGGGCGGCAGCTTTACAGTCATGTGCTTCACACCCACCCAACTGGGCGGCAGCTTTACAGTCATGTGCTGCACACCCACCCAACTGGGCGGCAGCTTTACAGTCATGTGCTCCACACCCACCCAACTGGGCGGCAGCTTTACAGTCATGTGCTTCACACCCACCCAACTGGGCGGCAGCTTTACAGTCATGTGCTTCACACCCACCCAACTGGGCGGCAGCTTTACAGTCAAGTGCTCCACACCCACCCAACTGGGCGGCAGCTTTACAGTCATGTGCTCCACACCCACCCAACTGGGCGGCACCTTTACAGTCAAGTGCTTCACACCCACCCAACTGGGCGGCAGCTTTACAGTCATGTGCTCCACACCCACCCAACTGGGCGGCAGCTTTACAGTCATGTGCTTCACACCCACCCAACTGGGCGGCAGCTTTACAGTCATGTGCTTCACACCCACCCAACTGGGCGGCAGCTTTACAGTCAAGTGCTCCACACCCACCCAACTGGGCGGCAGCTTTACAGTCATGTGCTCCACACCAACACAACTGGGCGGCAGCTATACAGTCATGTGCTCCACACCCACCCAACTGGGCGGCAGCTTTACAGTCATGTGCTCCACACTCACCCAAGTGGGCGCCAGCTTTACAGTCATGTGCTCCACACCCACCCAATTGGGCGGCAGCTTTACAGTCATGATCTGCACACCCACCCAACTGGGCGGCAGCTTTACAGTCATGTGCTCCACATCCACCCAACTGGGCGGCAGCTTTACAGTCATGTGCTCCACACCCACCCAACTGGGCGGCAGCTTTACAGTCATGTGCTCCACACCCACCCAAGTGGGCGGCAGCTTTACAGTCATGTGCTCCACACCCCACCCAACTGGGCGGCAGCTTTACAGTCATGATCTGCACACCCACCCAACTGGGCGGCAGCTTTACAGTCATGTGCTCCACACCCACCCAACTGGGCGGCAGCTTTACAGTCATGTGCTCCACACCCACCCAACTGGGCGGCAGCTTTACAGTCACGTGCTGCACACCCACCCAACTGGGCGGCAGCTTTACAGTCATGTGCTCCACACCCACCCAACTGGGCGGCAGCTTTACAGTCACGTGCTGCACACCCACCCAACTGGGCGGCAGCTTTACAGTCACGTGCTGCACATCCACCCAACTGGGCGGCAGCTTTACAGTCATGTGCTCAACACCCACCCAACTGGGCGGCAGCTTTACAGTCATGTGCTCCACATCCACCCAACTGGGCGGCAGCTTTACAGTCATGTGCTCCACACCCACCCAACTGGGCGGCAGCTTTACAGTCACGTGCTGCACACCCACCCAACTGGGCGGCAGCTTTACAGTCACGTGCTCCACACCCACCCAACTGGGCGGCAGCTTTACAGTCATGTGCTCCACACCCACCCAACTGGGCGGCAGCTTTACAGTCACGTGCTGCACACCCACCCAACTGGGCGGCAGCTTTACAGTCACGTGCTGCACATCCACCCAACTGGGCGGCAGCTTTACAGTCATGTGCTCCACACCCACGAAGTATATCATCATTCATTCTATTATGAATGAATATGTATATCTATCATCATTCTATTATGCAGGAAGTACCGCACACTGTGCGGTACTTCCTGCATAATAGAATGATGATAGACGGAGCCACCGGTGTGAATTTCATGGTTCGGATGGTCGACCAGTGGCATACACTGAAAGATGAAGGTCTGGAAGCCACCTCCACACACAACTTAAAGACCGGATTCGACAAAGAATTTGAACATTAAAATAGTTCAATTATAAGGCCAGAGGTACAACAAGGCGGGTAGGTGGGACAGTAGAGCTCACTCACTCGCCCCTCTACCACTCTCCCGTCCTCACTAATAGGGTAGTACTATTAGATCACAAATATCACCACTATCGATGCACCACCAATAGGACTCCGTGAGTGATCCATCACAGCTGAGAGTAACACGACCCCTCCTCCCACGCCACCCCTCCCAGGCCACCCCTCCCAGGCCACCCCTCCCAGGCCACCCCTCCCAGGCCACCCCTCCCAGGCCATCCCTCCCACGCCACCCCTCCCACGCCACCCCTCCCAGGCCACCCCTCCCACGCCATCCCTCCCAGGCGACCTCCCGTCTTCCGCCTCTCTCTCTTTCTCTCACATATCGTCTCCACTCTCACCTTTTCCCACAATCACCGATTCTCCTCACCCCTCACACCAATCCAAAACCCTCTTTTTAAGCCGAACACACCTTTCCTACCATGACCTCTCCCTCCAAAAGATAGTCTCCTCCCTCCAAGCTCTCTTCTAAAAGTATTAAGCACCACTTCTCACTCCTCCCTCCATCAAAGCATGAGCTCCCTTGGGGGGCCCCCCCCCCCCCCCCCCGTGTAACCTGTCCACACACTGCGCAACAGTTTTCACGCTGTGCACCCATAACACAACAACGTGGTGCACGTTAAGGCCGTGCTGTTGAAGCTGCACAGTGCACGCTTAAAGCTGTGCACGTGGGGAAGGGGGGTGCACGTGCGATCAACACACGTATGGTTTCGTGTTACGGTATCGACACCGTTGCCGGACTGGGGAGTGGCGATTTCGGCGCCATCTATGGATCTGCACTCCAACTACCAGGTATTGGGGGCAACGCAGACGCCACCATCTGTTGGTGGCGGCGTGGCATCGGTGAAAGGCTCCGGTTTCCTGCCTCAGTCAGAAGGTGAGGTCGATGGTGATAACCTCTGGTGGGCGGTGTAATGATATCAACGCCATCTAGGTTGTGGCTACAAGTTACAATTTCAATTCCCTGGTGGAAGGGTGTTGTCTTACGATCACCCAGTATACTGTCTGTTTAGCTAATGCCGTTTTAAGTTCATAGAGGTGACGTAAGGAGGCGATTGCGTTACGGAGGGTAGTTCACCCTGGGCAGTCCTGAACTCTTGACTTGGTCCTGTGAGAGGACAAAGTGGCCGTCGTCGGTAGTAGCAGTGTGTTAGCTGCTGGTTTGTGCAGTGTTGTATGGACCGACGTACCCGGGATTGGTCAGGAAGAGTTACGCGACGACAGTAGTGCGTCTGTTGAGAAGTGCTGCTAGCGAGCTGCTAGAGACTTCTGCCAGGGTGTTAGCTACCCCTGTATGTGATTGTTTTGAGATAGTTTTTGTGCTTGTTCGGGATCTTGAAGTGTCACTTCAAGACCCTGAACCAGCACAGAAGCAAAAAGATAAAACACAGTATACCTATTGTTTCATGTTCTGTCTTTTCCCGTTGATTTGTGTCCTGTCACCTCACCCAAAAACATTTGTATCCTATCACCTCACCCAAAAATGAATATAAGCACGATCTGAGTATGCAAATTTGCCTTTGAAAATGTAAGAAGTGTTCTTGCGAAACGCTTCTAGGCATCAGACCGTTAATAAAGTGTGAAAATGAACTTTGCAGAGTTAATTTCTCAACTACCCTGACAGTGAAGAAATACGTGAGAAATATTGAGAAGATTCGTGTTAGAATCATTAATCTTACCCTTTCGGTCATATTCAATAACATTTTATATATATATATATATATATATATATATATATATATATATATATATATATATAATATATAATATAATATAATATAATATATATAATATAATATATATATAATATATATATATATATATATATATATATATATATATATATATATATATATATATATAATATATATTAGTATATTTTGGTAGCAGTCTTTCCTGTAGACATATATTATTAAATATGACCGAAAAAGTAAGATTAATTATTCTAACACGAATTTTCTTGATCTTTCTTACGTTTCTTTTCACTGTTGATGGTAATTCAAAAATCAATTCTCCAAAATTCATTTTTATTTCTAGTCTGACGCGACACTTGAGCGCGTTTCATAAAACTTACTACATTTTCAAAGACTTTAGTTTACACAAACACACACAACTTTAACTGAATAGAGCTTAAACATCTTCGAGTTTTTATACCTACATTTGGGTGAGGTGACATGCTACAATAGTTTTGGATGAGGTGAAAATAAACTTTTAACACAAGACAGGACACGAAACAATGGGTATTAAAGGTAGGTAACTGCAGAAGGCCTATTTTTATTGGCCCATATTTCTTGATGCTTCTATATTGGAGCAGAGTCTTGAAGTGGGTAGAATATAGTTGTGCATTAATTGGCTGTTGATTGCTGGTGTTGACTTCTTGATGTGTAGTGCCTCGCAGACGTCAAGCCGCCTGCTATAGCTGTATCTATCGATGATTTCTGTGTTATTTGCTAAGATTTCTCTGGTGATGGTCTGGTTGTGGGAAGAGATTATATGTTCCTTAATGGAGCCCTGTTGCTTATGCATCGTTAAACGCCTAGAAAGAGATGTTGTTGTCTTGCCTATATACTGGGTTTTTTGAGGCTTACAGTCCCAAGAGTGCATTTGAAGGCATATACGACGTTGGTCTCTTTAAAGCGTTCTGCTTTGTGTCTGGAGAGTTTCTCATGAGTAGGCTGGCCGTTTTTTTTGGTTTTATAGTAAATTGTCAGTTGTATCTCCTGATTTTTGTCTGTAGGGATAACGTTTCTATTAACAATATCTTTCAGGACCCTTTCCTCCGTTTTATGGGCTGTGGAAAAGAAGTTCCTGTAAAATAGTCTAATAGGGGGTATAGGTGTTGTGTTAGTTGTCTCTTCAGAGGTTGCATGGCGTTTCACTTTCCTTCTTATGATGTCTTCCACGAAACCATTGGAGAAGCCGTTGTTGACTAGGACCTGCCTTAACCTGTCTATTCACGACATTTTACTTGCATAAACTCGCAAGTTTTTGGTAAACACACATAGACACCCTCCCTGCAGTAGACTCGAACCCAGAGAGCCAGCTGTTCACGCAGCTTGACATAACTGGTACGCCTTAATTGATCACACCAAACTCAGACCCTTAAAAGGAATGGAAATTTCGAGGTATTTGACTGTACCTCTACCTGCAGTAGACTCGAACCCAGGACTCTGGGTTCGAGTCTCCTGCAGGGAGGGTGTCTATGTGTGTTTACCAAAAGCTTGCGAGTTTATGCAAGTAAAATGTCGTGAATAGAGACAGGAATTCTCCCTGTAATGCAGTTGCGCATATATATATTTCCCAGTGCCATGACCGGGAGAGGGCAGCTCTATGGACCACACCACGAGGAGCCACAGTAAGGCAGGATTCCAGAGCAAGTAACCCCCGGCCTGGCTGTAACTTAAGCCTTCCCTCGGCTCTCACAGGAGCATGCAGGAATGAGGTGCTCACCCCCCCCCCCCCACCTCACATATATAACGGCAGACAGTAGCTCCTACATGACGCCGGCGTGTGAGAAGGGGGGGGGGGTGGTGAGGGAAGGAGGGAGTGTGAGAGAGGGAAGGAGTGTGGGGTAGAGGGGAAGAGTAAGAGAGGGGGAAGTTAACTAGTGAGAGCAAGGGAAAGAGGGAGGGATAGTGAGAGAGGAGGCATGAGGGAAGAGTAAGAGAGGGAAGATGAGTAGTGTGATGGGGAGGAGTGAGAGGGGAAGGGGGAGAGAGAGAGAGAGGTCAGGTCACGACCCAAAGTTTGTGAGAGTCAACAGTTGCCATGGCGCAAATGGCCGAACTGTACCCTGTGTCA